ACAAAGAGAGAATATTAAAAGCAGCAAGAGAAAAGCAGGTAGTGACCTATAAAGGAGCACCCATAAGATTGTCAGCTGATTTCTCAACAGAAACCATGCAGGCCAGACGGGAATGGCAAGAAATATTCAAGGTGATGAATAACAAGAACCTACAGCCAAAAATAATCTACCCAGCAAAGCTATCACTCAGAATCAGAGGACAGATAAAGAGCTTCACAAATAAAAAAAAAGCTAAAAGAGTTCATCACCACCAAACCAGAATTATATGAATTGCTGAAGGAGGTTATTTAGGAAGAGGAAGAAGATAAAGATAAAAATTATGATCAACAAATACGTAGCTATCAACAAGTGAATCTAAAAACCAAGGGAATTTAAAAATCTGATGAACAATATTAACTGGTGAATATAATAGAATCAGAGGTATGGAAGGGGAGTGGACTGACGATTCTCAGGGAAAAGGGGAGTGGGGGTGCAGGAAGAGACTGAACAAAAATTGTGCACCTATGGATGAGAACAATGGGGGATGGGGAAAGGACAGAGGGTGGGGTGGGAACCTGGTGAAGGGGAGCAATTGAGGGGGGGAAGAGGATCACATTTGTAATAATCTGAACAATAAAGATTTATTTTAAAAAAAAGAAAAAAAAAGAAAAGAAAAGAAAAAAACTAATAGACTTAATAAATGAATTTGGCAATGTAGCAGGATACAAAATTAACGCCAAGAAATCTATGGCATTTCTATACACCAATAGTGAACTTACAGAAACAGAAACTAAAAAAGCAATCCCATTTATCATCACACCAAAAAAATTTAGATAACTAGGAATGAACTTAACTAAGGAAGTAAAAGATCTATACGTGGAAAACTATATGACACTGGAAAAAAAGATAGAGGAAGATGTAAACACATGGAAGAACATACCATGTTCATGGATTGATAGAATCAACATCATCAAAATGTCCATACTACCCAAAGCAATTTATAGTTTCAATGCACTCCCCATTAAAATACCAACAGCGTCTACAGCCATACCACCCTGAACACGCCTGATCTTGTCTAAAATACCAACAGCATACTTCACAGACCTAGAAAGAAGACTCCAAAAATTCATCTGGAACAAAAAAAGAGCCGGAAGAGCCACAGCAATTCTGAAAAAGAAAAATAAAGTAGGAGGGATCTCAATACCAGATTTCAAGCTGCATTACAAAGCCATTGTTCTCAAAACAGCCTGGTACTGGCACAAGAACAGACATATAGATCAATGGAATAGAATAGAGAATCTGGATATCGACCCAAACCTCTATATTCAATTAATATTTGAGAAAGGAGGTATGAACATACAATGGAGTCAAGACAGTCTCTTCAATAAATGGCATTGGGAAAATTGGACAGAGACATGCAAAAAATGAAACTAGATCACCAACTTACACCATACAGAAAAATAAACTCAAAATGGATACAGGACTTAAACATCAGACGGGAAACCATAAAAATACTAGAGGAATGCACAGGCAGCAAAATCTGAGACATATGCCAAAAGAACTTCTTCACTGATACTGCCCCTAGGGCAATGGAAGCTAAAGAGAAAATAAACAAATGGGACTACATCAAAATAAAAAGCTTTTTTACAGCAAAAGAAACCTCAACAAAACAAGAAAACCCACTGTATGAGAGAACATATTTGCAAATGTTATCACTGATAAAGGTTGAATCTCCAACATCTAAAGACAGCTTATACAACTTAATAAAAGAAAGATAAATGATCCAAGTAAAAAATGGGCAATGGATCTAAATAGAATATTTTCAAAAGAAGACAGAAGGAACACCAAGAGACATATTAAAACATGCTCCAAGTCACTAATTATCCAAGAGATGCGAGTCAAAACAACAATGTGGTACCATCTCACACCTGTCAGAATGCCCAACATCAACAAATCAACAAATGACAAGTGTTGGCGAGGATGCAGAGAAAAAGGAACCCTCATGCACTGCTGGTGGGAATGCAGACTGGTGCAACCACTGTGGAGAACAGTGTGGAGTTTCCTAAAAAAAACTGAAAATGCAACTCCCATTTGACCCAGTAATCCCACTCCTAGGAATATATCCTAAGAAACTAGAAACACCAATCAGAAAGGATATATGCACTCCTATGTCCATAGCAGCACAATTTACAATAGCTAGGATTTGGAAACAGCCTAGGTGCCTGTCAGCAGATGATTGGATCCAAAAACTATGGTACATCTACACAATGGAACACTATGCTGCCATAAAAAAGAAGGAATTCTTATCATTTGCAGCAACATGGATAGAATTAGAGAACATTATGCTGAGTGAAATAAGCCATTCAATGAAAGAAAATCACCACATGATCTCACTCATTTATGGATAATAAAGAACATTATAAACTGTTGAACAAAAAGATAGATACAGGATACAGAGACAGTAAAGCAACAAACAGACTGTCAAATTACAGTGGGGAGGCTAGGGAGATATGGGGGAGATAAGAGATCAACTGTAGGACTTGTATGCATGCATATAAGCATAACCAATGGACGCAAAACTCTGGGGAGGGAGGATATGTATGGGAGTGGGGGGCGGGGAATTGGTAAGATATGTACACATATAATACCTTAATAAATAATGAAAAAAAAGAAACATCAATGATGACAAAGAATCATTAATTAGTTGCCTCCTATATACCCCCTACTGGGAATTGAGCCCACAACCAAAGCATGTGCCCTGACCAGGAATGGATCCATGACTTCAAGATTCGTAGGTCAATGCTCAACCATTGAGCAACACTGGCCAGGCTGTATTTCCAGTTTTGACATCTCCTTTCATCCAGCTCCTCACCTCCTGAAAATTACCTCAAATTCAACAAGCTTAAAACTGAATTTATCTTATTTTCTAGAAAGCAGCTGAACTTCATGACATCCCCATTTTTGTTATACTTTGTTTTCCGTTTACCCAGGTCCCCAAATCAGGAGTTTTAACCTGTCTCTCTTCAGTGTTCTCCTAAATCAAGAAGCCAAATCATACCTGTTATTTTACAGTAGCAAATACTATTCATTCTTAACATTCTCAGTGACCACTCCTACCTCCAAATCCTTTACTTCATACCTGAGTTCAGCCTCAACTTCTTATATATTGTCCTTGGATTTAAACTATTCTTCCTCTAGTCATCTGCTCACCATATGCAGAACAGTATTCCTAAAATAGTCACTCTTCTTACGTTACTGGCCTTGCCAATATCCTTTATTAAAGGATTCCTCCACAACATTAACTCAGCCTTTATCTTCCATTGTATCCTTAGGAACCTTCTTCTCTAGCCAAACTATTTCTCCCTTTATTCAAGATAGACCTCTTCTAGCTTGTTACACCACTCTTGTTCTCCACCAATTCAAATCCCTCCTCTCCATGGTGCTAAAATCAAATCCAATTTTCTCCATCACTTTTCACTGACCATTCAATTGGAAATGATTAGTTAGATTTATCCATAATAGTAGTTGCATTAATTAATGACTATAATATCATTACTTTCTCAGTTATACAAATTTGCCTTTCAAATAAATGGCAAGCACTCTGAGGGTCAAATAATTTCTTATATTCTATATCTTCTTCTTTACCTGGAAATGTTACTGATAAGAGCTCAATAAATATTTATTAATTTGTTTCTAAATGTTTCCTTACTGTATTTTATTTGATTATACAAAAGCTTACTATTTTTCATAAATTAAAGTATAAAACATTAAGTTAGAGCATAACAATTTTAATAAGTGACTGTCAATTAGAGAATTTTACATGTCTCCTTTTCCTATTTTACATTTCTATATCTAAAATATATAAAGACAAATCATGGACTGAATTTTTTTTTAAATAAGCAATTAACAAAAACTCAATGCCATTAGTTCCTTTCAAGATGGAAAATAAAAAACACACTTGAACCACCAGGACTCAGGCAACAACTCTGCCAACATCCAGTTATCCTATTAAAACCACTTTGGGGCTCAGTTTAGGTCAAGATGAGAAGATAGAATTTTTCAATTTTTGACATTTCTTCTGTTCTACAATGGTGTTAAACACATAGAGTAAAAGCAAAGAATAGAATAAAGATGGGTAGATAAGTCTTAGGAGAACTTAGGGATTCTTCTGTTTGTACTCTTATTTTACTACAAAAATACATATTGCTAATTTTTCACCAATAATGAAATCACAAACACAAAGCTCACTGAATGAATGGGTACAAGCAGACATGCCTAGTTGTAGCTAATATCAGCTTGCATGCAAAAGCAAAACAATGAATAAAATAAAATAAAATAATAATAAAAATAAAAAAGCAAAACAATGGGAATGCATGACAATTAGTGGGTATGCATGTGCAAATTACATTTTGAGTGCTTTATGAATCATCCACAAATGCTTGGAAGTGAGCAGTAAGTGCCATTATGAAGCCACGTGACAAGTTTTCTTTTCCTACCAGTTTTTTCAATTCCCACTTGAACTGGTTTGGCTGGCTCTGTTATGCCTGGTAATGATGTGAATACAATTCTGAGACAGCTGCTAGGGAGCACAAAACATTACATATCCTATATAAGCAATGGCTTTTTAGCTTTCTTTTTCATCTGACAATTGGATTTTATTGCTCTATTCTATTTCTTTTTAATATTAGATTATCAGAATTTTATAACATTAACCTGCATTTATACTTAAAAGGACAACCAATTGAAAATATAAGAATTCGAACTGTATTAAAAATATAAGAATTCAAACTATATAGCATAAGCTCCTTTATAAGGGCAAAAACTATAATGTGTACAAATCTGTATTAAACTGTACAGTTTTGGTTTACACATGCCAAATAATTAGTATTCCTGAGCTCACAAATTGTGATCCAGAGATAGAACATTAATGTGATCCTGAAACTAAACCAAAGTAATTCTCAATGAAGTTTCTTCTTATACTTAATTTCTTACTCAAAATTTAAAAAATAGCTTTTGATTACCTTGAAGCTGGAAATAGAAGTATTTTTGTTTGCATTTTTAAGAGTCTGATTGACCCATTTAATTATAATTTCATCATTGACTTTTTCACCTTCTCCAAGATCTGATAACACATTCAATGTGTACCTGTAACAGAAAAGATGTATATTTGAGATTCAAAGGGGTTAAATTTGCTCCCATATCATTTATATAAATATTTAAGAAATATTCAGTTCTAATAAGTATTTTTAATTTTAGTCTGGCTTTTGCACTTAGTTAAAATCCGAAGTTACAAAGCTCAGTAATGAAAAACAAAAACTTCTAAATGGTATTTAAAAAACAATTAAAACAACTCCATACAAGGTAGTTTTTAAGAGACATTAAGAATAGTGATTGGCCGGGACCGGTTTGGCTCAATGGATAGAGCGTCGGCTTGGGGACTGAAGGGTCCCGGGTTCAATTCCAGTCAAGGGCATGTACCTTGGTTGCGGGCATATGCCCATAGGGGGTGTGCAAGAGGCAGCTGATCGATGACTCTCTCTCATCGATCTTTCTGACTATCTCTCTCCCTTTCTCTCTGTATAAAAATCAATAAAATATATTTTAAAAAAAAAGAATAGTGATTGTTTCTAGAGATTTATCCACTATTTAAAAAAAAAAGATTTACAAAGAATATAGTATCAATACTAAATCATATAAAAATTAATATTTTATAGTATATTTATTCTGTTTGTTATTCTTCCAAATGAACTAAAACTTTAGTTCAAAGGATTTTTTGAAAGAAATTGAGTGTTGCTATAAACATTGCAATCTTTACCTTCTCATTAACTGCCATACCAATGCCAGTGTCAGTGTTGAATTCCCTTCATTTAGGTCCTGCCCAGCAATACCAACCAAGGAGAATTTGGCCTTATTCTTCCCAAGTTCCACTGCATAGTTACAATTTTCAATCTATAAGTAAATAAAAGTTTTGGTATAAAGACAAATTTTAAAGTCATCTGAAAGATAGCTATGATGATACCTTAAATTTATATTATAGAATTTCATCTCATAATAATGCAGTGAAATTAAGAATTAATTATTCCAACTTTAAAGTGGAAGATATCAAAAGCACTGAGGGGTTAACCTAGATAAACAACTATCTAGAACATTTTAAGATCCTCTCTTACCTTAAAAGTTTTGACTGTCCAAGATTAAACAGCTTATTAATGGCAGATCTTTGAATAAAAACCTGGCTTTCCTGCATTCTATTGATAAAGGTAAAAAATATAGTTCTGCCTAAAGTTAAAATTAAGGAAAAGAGAAGAAATTGTTTCATTAAGAGTCTAAGTCATCTCCAATATTTTTAATCTAGATCTTTCTCATCCTCTGAAATTCCACATTTAGCTCACTTATTTGAGCAAAAGCTTAACCTTAACTGAACCAGCTGATGATAATCTATCCCATGTTTAACTCCCAATACTTCTTATTTTGTAATGTTTATGTATCATCATAAACTTATACTTAGCATTTGATGTACTTTCTTTGCTAACCATAGCATAAGCTCTTTTATAAGGGCAAAAACTATAATGTGTACAAATCTGTATCATACTCTTCCCTAACCCAGGCCAGGACCCAGCACAGTCCCCTGCCTATGGTAAGATCTGATTAACGAACGCCAAGTAAAGCCAATCAAGAGTGGGTATGCAAATTAACCAAACAAAGATGGTGGCAGGCCTGCCCCCCAGCTGCTCCAGGCTTCTAGGCAGCACATATGCAGGCATGGAGTAACCAAGAGGGGCAGGACGCCTGCTATGAGGGAGAGGACCAGGAACAGAGGGACCCACAGGAGTGGCTGCTCCAGATGGAGTGAAGACTGAAGGCTCCAGCCAGAGTGAAGGCCAGGTGTTGGAGGAAAACTGGTGCCAGCAGCCAGGGGAAGGAAGGCCTATTGCACAAATCTTCATGCAACAGGCCTCTAGTATATAATAAAGAACTAATATGTTAATTAAACTTGTCAGCAGAAAGACCATCTGGATGACCTTCTGGATAAAGCCAGGGCTGCAAGGGCCAAGCCCCATGCTCAAATTTCATGCATCGGGTCTCTAGTATATATCTAACTATGTAATAGAAGAATATGTAAGTTATCCGGGACAACATAATGTCTCGACCAAACAGCAGGGACCTCAGTCTGCACCCCCTATCCCATGGGGCTTGACAGGGTCCTTAGGCCTCACCCCTTGCTAAGGGAGACCTGAGACTGTGCACTTCACCTGGCACTAGGCCAGGGGACTTGAGGTTGTGACCCCACCTGGCAGACCTTGACAGGGACCTCAGGCTGCGCCGAATCTGAGTCTCCTGCATTTTCGAAGTGTGTGCGGGTGGTGGGTAGGGACTTGACTCTAGGTCCTATGGTACACCCCAGACTCTGACAGGAGGAAGATTTTCATATACATTTTACTAATTTTCTTTCATCTCTGACACTTGTATTATAGAAAAAGGGCAAATAGCAATATTAAAATATTCCCTCTAATTAATTTCCTTTTAATGTACACAAATTTTGTGCACCAGGCCACTAGTGTGTGTGTGTGTGTGTGTGTGTGTGTATGTGTGTATACATATGTATTACATATTATATATTACATGTAATATATAATATATATAGTAATATATATAAAATAATTTATAGATATACAAATTCTTATGAAATTGAGTCTTTGTTCTCAACCCAAATTGTAAGCTCTTATAGTTTAATAGAGGCCCAGTGAATGAAACTCGTGCATGGAGTAGTCCCCTTAGGCCAGCCTGCACTCTCTCCAATTTAGGACATCCCTCTCACAATCCAGGACCACTGGCTCCAAACTGTTCACCTGTCTGCCTGCCTGATCACCTCTAATTGCCTCCCTGAGGGCCTGGTCACCCCCAACTGCCCGCTGCTGGCCTTGTTGCCCCTAACTCTGCCCCCTTTCCCTGCCACCAGCCTGGTCACTCCCAACTGCCCCCCTGCCAGCCTGTTTGCCCTTCACTGCCCCCCCCACCCCAGCCTGGTCGCCCACACAGCCTGCTGCTCAATCGTTTGGTCAATCCCACTAACCCCTTGCTGGCCTGGTTGCCCCATTCATCCTGCTGCTCAGTCGTTTGGTTGATCCTTAACCCCCCTGGTGGTCTGGGCACCCCACGCAGCCTGTTTTGTTGTCTCAGTTGTGATGGTCACTTAGGCTTTTATATAGTATATAGACTTGAGGCCTGGTACACAAAAATTTGTGCACTCATGGGGGTCCCTCAGCCCAGCCTGCACCCTCTCACAATTTGGGACACCTCAGGTAGGGTCCCTAGGCCTGGCCTGAGATCAGGGCCTATCAGGACTTTCTTTCCTCTGGTTGAAGGCAGCTGGCCCCACCCCCGCAACTACCACTGCTTGCCATCTGTCAAGTGCTGCCCTCCTCCTCTGCCACTGGTGGCCAACCTCTACAGGTGACAGACAATGGCTTGGCTGGCTTGGGTCTCCCGCTTTTTTTGCTGGAAGGCATGGCCAGCCTTGCGAGGGGTCATCTGCCTACCTCATCACCCCTAACCACTTGCCTACTTACCTGATCATCCCTAACTGCTGTCTGGCTAGCTGATCACCCCTACACTATACCTGCTTGCTTGATTGCCCCTAACCATTTGCATGGGGGCAGGGCCAGCCCAGCGAGGGGCCACCTGCCTACCTGCTCACCCCTAACTGCTGGCCTGCCTACCTGATCTCCCCTAACCACTTGCCTGCCTACCTGATCACCCCTAAACCTCTGCCTGCCTGCCTGATTGCCCCTTAACACTTGCTTAGGGTAAGGCCAGCACTAACTTCCAGTTGGTCAGCCTCCAATAGTTACTGGTCATTACCACCCAGGGATTTTATATATTAGGGTAATGTATCACCAGTACTAAAAACGTACGTACGAAATACTTTTTAGAATAAACATTAGTTAAGAAATATAGTATAACTGACTTCTCCTGATTTTCTTTCTAAAATTCGTTGAAACCTCATTGGAAAACATTTTAACCTAAGACACACAGATGTTTTTTCTATGAATAAGAAAACATTTCCAGAAAAGATGAGAAAGGGACCACACAATAATAGAATTTACACAAATAAATGGGTATTGTTCTTTAAAAAAGAGAATTCATATTCCCAAAAGTCAGTGTATATAAATAAAAATGCAAGAAGTTCTTTTGAACCTGCTGTAATATCTATTTGGTTCCCTTAATAAATTAAATAAAATCTCTGATATGTATTCATTTTCTGGAAATAAATAATATTCCAATCTTCTTTATTTTTCCTACTAGTCTTATTAAATTATAAATTTAGTCTGCCTATATGCTATAGAAATGCAGAGATTTTTAAAAATGAAACAGATTCCTAATTTATGGAAATTAGGATCAGAGCTCTGAGTATATAACAGTGCGAACAAGGGCGATAAAAACCAGCATATTTTCGACTGACACCCATTTCATTAGGAGACTTTTTCAGCAAATTGTAACAAGCACTTAAATATAAAATGTATTTCAATGAAAGGCCATTTGTTTTATAATTTGACCAAAATTCCTGAGGGGAACAAGGGTGAGAAAGAATATCAGAATTATTAGAGGTCTAAGAAACAATATGACTGACAATGAAAGAAAAGATCAGAATTATTAGAGGTCTAAGAAACGATATGACTGACAATGAAAGGAAAACTAGAAATGGATACTAGCATAAGGGAAAATATCTGTTCTATTTTTTGACAACATGTGATTTCAAATTTGGCAAAAAACTTAATGTTTGAAAATGAAACTAAAGAAAGAATAAGAAATTAGATTCCTATGCCAAAACCGGTTTGGCTCAGTGGATAGAGCATTGGCCTGCGGACTGAAGAATTCCGGGTTCAATTCTGGTCAAGGGCACATCCCCAGTTGGGAGTGTGCAAGAGGCAGCTGATCAATGTTTCTCTCTCATCAATGTTCCTAACTTTCTATCTCTCTCCCTTCCTCTCTGTAAAAAAATCAATAAAAAATATATATATTTTTAAAAGAAATTAGATTCCTAGAGGTAAACTATGTTTATGGTAATATTTAACACTCTAAGAATGAATCTGCTCTCTGAAGATATAAATATACAAAGTTCAGAGCACTGGGAAAGAACTGAGCCTTGGGAATCACAAGAGTTGTCAGGCTAAAAGATGAAGACCCTGTTAAGGATAAGAATGAACACAAAGAAAGCAAAAAAAGAAAAAGAAAAAACTGAAAACACAGTGTTAAAAAAAGAAATGAATACTAAGCAATTCAAATACTTTAGACAAAAATAAAGCTTAAATCATTTGGAAAATGAGACAAATTACACATTGGGATGCAGGATTCCAAGGAAAAAGAAACACTGAAGAAATAATAAAGCTTATTTTTTAAACATACTAAATTTATTTCAAGCCTTATGTTTAATTCTATAAACAGCTAGTATTTTTTAAAAGAAGCACCCTCACTCTGACCGACTTGGCTCAGTGCATGGAGCATTGGCCTGCAGACTGGTCCTAGGTTCGATTATGGTTGGGGCATGTGCCTTAGTTGTGGGCACATCCCCATTGGAGGGTGTGCAGGAGGCAGCTGGTCAATGTTTCTCTCTCATTGATGTTTCTAACACTATATCCCTCTTCCTTCCTCTCTGTAAAAAAAAATCAATAAAAATATATTTAAAAAAAGAAGCATCCCACTTATGATTCATTTGTGACACCTTATGCTTAATATTAAAAAAATTCAGGTCTAATGACTGGTTCAATTTTTGTTTTACTATTATATTTTGCATCTAAAATTTTTATTTAAGTGAAATAAGCCATTCAGAGAAAAGTGTATCACATGATCTTACTCATATGTAGAATCTGATGAACAATGTAAACTTATGAACAAAAATAAATCCAGAGATATAGAAGCATCTAACAGACTGTCAAACCTGAGGGAAGGCA